GTAACGATAGTTTAAAAATTTATTAGGCGCGTGTTTTACTTAATTTTTTACAAGTAATTTTTTTACCGTATGATTTTCTTAAGTACGTATGGTTAGAAAAGTACTTAAATAATCATGTCATTGTTATATGTTAAATAAATCTTTAACATTATTATAGGTAATCAACGAGTACTTGCTTTTCAGCTGGGACTACAACATCGAAACCGAATCCACATGTACATTTTACTCAACCTTCAGTGGAAAAATTATCTGACCTTTAAGATTTTATTTTAGCATCTCCACTTTCAATGTATTTTAACGTTTTAATATATTAATAAACTTTATATCCTTTTAGAAATACAAATCCTGGTTTCTTTCATCAATCATAATTAAAGTTCTTCAAGACCTTTCAAGAACGGAGCGTCCTCATTAAAAACAAACGGTGAGCAAATTACACACCATTCTCAAATATTTGGAAATAGTCTTATCAAATTAAAGTCCATGATAATAATAAATTTTTATTTATTACATTTATTTTTATTAATTGTTTTTGTAAGTTTTCGGCTACTCCAACTAACAAAAAAATTACGATTAAATCAAAGTGATTAAATTACAAAAAGATACGAATGATACTCATTGTAATTAAGAAAGGAATGAGCATTAAACAAGGTAATATTTTGCTGTTTATTATGAAAATCAAGAAAAGATATTTCTTTAATTATTTTTTTTTTTCACCCTAGATCTGGGGAATGCATCAAGGTTGGCGAAATTGGAAAGAAAGTATATACCAAAATTTTTCTATCATACGGATATGACTTAAAATGTTTGGTTTTATTTATATATGGTATTATATTGATGTTTGCTAATCAGTGAAACAATCTTAACTTATTTTTTAATATACTTGGGTCTTTCGCACTTTTTTCGTCATAATATAATCTATGTTTAGCAGGTTTATAGGTGTATTCCAATACATAATCTTCGTTGAAAATATCATAAATCTCTTTTAATGTAATTGTAAAGATTATTGGAACTTTAAACGGTGGAGGTATTAATTCTTTTAATGTTTCATTTTGTAATATTCCCAAACTATTAAATTCGTAGTACAACTCGTCAAAATCAAGAACTTGACTGCCGGGAAATGAAGCGTAAGATAACGGCTTATCTTTATAACCACCAACAGCAATAGTGCTTACATTAAATTTTTCTGCCATACGATGAGTAATCAACGAACATGATACCCATCTGTTAATAAACAACATCTCCACTCTTCCATTTATATTTATTAATGTGCCCTGCTAAAAATTTGGTAAATAGACTAAATCCTTGTGTATTTTTGTCACAAATTTGGATGTATTTGATGTAGGAGTTTCCCCTCTAACGTAAGTCTTGTTACCAATAAATTCTTCAACATTAATAAAAGGATTACCTGTATTTGGATCTTTGTAACTGACAGTATCGAAGATTGAAGTTGAACGCATTATATTAAGTACTGTATTCGCTGCCCATCTTATTAAATCTTTAGTATGTAGGCTTGGTGGAATCTCAAATGATTTATTTGACGTTTTAAATGCTGTTGATTGTGATGTCGCTGCTTCGAGTAATGCTCTGGACAATTCGGTAACCACCATATCGTTGTCGAATGATGGACTAAATTCTGGAAATAGTAAATAAACAAAAAAATATGCTAAAAGTATGAATCCTCCACCATTGTCATGAAAGTCCAGAACAAGCTATTGAAATAAGCGAGAAAAGTAAAAGAGAATTAATTAAAATAAATTTTTATATAAGTTAATTTTACAATCAAATAATTGCTTACATTTGTTACTCCTCTTTCTTCTAATATATTCAATCCAGTTTGTAATTCAAATAATTGGTTTATCATATCATTGTCTGAAGGAATGACATTTGGGATAACCACAACACCTGTCTTATTATCACTTAATATATAAAAAGTAGCCATCAATGTTCCATAAACTAATTCACATTC